GAAAATGATGATGCTTAAGTCACTTATTATTAGAAAAAAGTTTATTTGCGATAGAAAATTTTGTCGCAAATTTCATTGCAGAAGTCAAATTTCATCGCAAACGACCAAATTTCGTCGCAAATAAAAATTTGCGATGACGCAATTTGCGATGGAATTCCATAAAATTTCATCTCAAATCAAGATTTTTCTTGTAGTTTGGTTTGACTTTAGTCTACAATTTCAACAAGGTATTTTACTCTTTTGCCATTTCATTCTTGTTCTTTTTTCTAACTTATAACTTAACATTTCTAACATGTATCTTGAACTTATAAACATCATAAAATAATTTCTCACTACATCATTTCTAAGTTTCGTGTAACTTTTGCATATTTGCATTTTTATCCCAAAACTTTAACTATTTGCAATTTTATCCTGAAAAGTGATTTAAATTTCGTAATTAGATTCTACATCTAATCAAACCCTTTTAAGCATGGAATAATCCTCAATTACTCAATTCAAATGTTTGGGTTATTATAAAAGGGGAATGGATGATATCGTGTAACATGAGTTTATGCTGAGGATCTTAAAGGGCGATAGGAGAATGTATTAAGATAAAGAGTGAAAAAAGTTTCGATGGCTCATATCCTCTTCCGTGATCTCAAGTCACGTTACATAATTTATTTCCAAGAATGAGAGTGTCACAGTGGAAATAAAGTATTAAAAGTGAAAAGGAGTAAAGGAATGAGATCAAAAATAAATGTCCAATAATCATGTATTAGATACTAACTTATACTCATAATATTATAAACTTTTAGTATAATTATATATTTTTGTCACCACTAACATTTCATGTTAATAACCCTTAATAAAATTTTAATGGTGTTAGCTCTTAAGGGTTCTGTTCTATTCTTGGGACAGAGATGTCTAGTCATAGACTAGTGAGTTTATCTTGGATCTAAGAGCTCACTCAAGTATCTATGGAATAGAAGCCTTAGAGGGTAGCAGATCATTGTACATTGATTATTATGGTGTTAGCCAAAGGGATGGTGTGTATGTACAGTGATAACATAACAGTAGATAGAGAGAAGGTATTCATACTTGTAGGTTTTACCTCTTATTTATAAAGTTTACATGTGGGTAGTGGATTTCTGAACCTTTGCATGCTCTTATGAGGGCCCATGTCCAGATTCGTTGCTGTTGTATTAGGATTAGCATCCTTGATTGATGTTTTCATTTATTTGACTTAGTTTTCTATTTTGCCCTTTCTTGGACTTTCTATAATATGAGCCTCTTATGCAGGTCCATAACAGATTCAATTGCAAAATTTTAGAATTATAAGTATTTTAAACTATAAAAATTTAATTAAAAATTTAGTATAAATACAAAGATCTACAAAATGATTTAACCATAATATTATTATACAAAATAATAACATTTTCATATCAGAGTCACAATCTTTATTTTTTTATTGCAGATAATGAAAGTAATGCAAAGTTTAAATAGATAATATTGAAGCAACTGAAACCATTTTAATCAATAATTGCAAGAACTATAATGTAAGGAAGCTTATAGTCAAATTGTGATTCCCATTTTAAGGTATCCAAGTTATTTCTCTCACAAATATTTATTTTAATCCTTATAATTATTATTTTTATGTTGGATACTAAATATTTTTTGTCTCATTTTAAAGATATTACTTAATATATATTTTGGATAAATTATACTTTGTCATAAGAGATGTTCAAATTATACTATTCTCTTTTGTTAAGAGACCAATTCAACATATTAGTTTACAGTTTATACAATAATTCCCTCATCATCTGCCTCTTGTAAAGTGTCATCTTGAGTATTCGAACCTATGACCTCAGGTTTGATATCACTATAAAACAATCATTTTACTGAACAAACCAAGCTAATAAGTGAAGACTCAATCGATGGTTATTTATATTATATTCCTCTAACACAAACCTTCAAGCAATTGCCCCTTTGGACTTAAAATGTGATATTATTGTACAACGTCCATTTTTGTTTTGGTGAATCAAGTCCATTTTTTAATTTTTACTTTTACTAACTTAATTTCACTACAAAGTAAGAACAACGAGGATTGAACTTCCGATCCCGTGGTCATGTAGACTTTAATGTCATGTAAAGCAATGAATTCAACCCAACACCTCAAGCTACTAAGTAAGGATCTTTTAAGCGTCATGGTTCTATCTTTGTTAAGTATTGTATATTCAAAGATTTTATATTATAACTCTCTAACACACCCAATCTCACAAGAGTAATTTGGACTTGAAGTGTGGATATTGCATTAGTCCATTGGTTTTGCATGGTGATCGAGGTAGCTTTGATACCATATTAAGCAATCATCTCGCCAAACAGCTTAAGTTGGTAAATAAAGGTTCATGAATGATTTTTTATATTTCTCTAATCGTCAAAGAAAAAACTCTTCTTCACCTTAATATCAATTAAAAAAATAATTTTATCATCTCCCAATTAAAAAATATAAATTCTAAAATAAAATACTATAATTTAAGTATCTCTCAAAAATAATAATATAACTATTTTACATATTTTTTAGGCTTTATTAATCTCATATTATAAGAGAGTAATTCTCTCCTACCATAGACATATTCATGGATGAACCACACTCATTTATAGAAAATAAAAAAATAAAATAGAGATACACAAAAATCGAAGAGTGTATAGAAAAAATAACTACTCTCCAATAATATGAGAGTAATTTTTTCCTTCTTTTTAAGGTTCTTATATTAATATCTTCGGGAATTATTTTCTCATGCAATAGGAGATAATTTTCTCATGTTGTGAGACATCAAAATTGGTATTATCTTTTTTATTTTTTTAATAATTAATAAGCCTCATCACTTGTTATATCTATCATATGAGATATGATATCTCAGGTGACATAAAAAAAGAAATATCTTAATATCTTAACATTTTTTTTTTTATTTATAATGTTCACATCTTTTTATATGTGAATCTCATTTCTTCAAACATAAATAAATCAAACCCTCGTTACATGTGACATCTTTTTCTCTTGGTAGGTGCAAGTAACATCTTTTTCATCCATTGTCAAAAAAGTACATTTCTCTTGTCGATGCACAGGGTCCGATCTGCAAAAGCCAAAAAGTATTACTCGAAAGGAATAAACTTAAAAATTTAGTGATTTTGTACCATTATTAAATTTTTATAAAATAATTTAAAGATAGGTAAATAAGATTAAATATGATATATCATTAATTAAAAAAAACATTTTTACTCAACTACAATTATCTTTAAGTACTACTTGATTTCACAAACTATATAATTTAATTCTAATCAAATAATATTTATTATCATTGTTTATATTTATAAATATTAAATTAATAGGCACTTTGATAACAAGATATCTTAATAAGTTATTTACTTAAAATTTATTAACATGTAAATGAAAATCAAACTAGCTCTAAACTTGTGCAAAATAGCAGGCCTGTATGCCCAGAAAGAACCGTGGGATATCAAAGTGGCAAAATTTCAGACCATATTCAATTAAGGAAAAAAATATTTCTCTTTTTAAAGATATAATTTTATATCTTTTTAAATAAGGATTCATTTTTCCTACGATAAGAGATAAATTATCTATATCAAACCCAAAACAACGTTATTTTTGGTAAAAAATTAAAGTGTTTTTATAATTATAATTTATTTTAAGATTATAGTAATATTTGTCATTATAATTTTTTAATTTTTTAATCTAAAATAATATTATTTGAAGAGTAAATATAAATAATTTATCTACATCAATGTAAAAATATTAAAATCTTTAAATAAAATAAAATAATTTTATTTACCAAAAAATATATTATTTTAACATATAATTAATAAATTTTTACATTATCTTTTCTTAACTTTCACTCTCTTTATAATTTTAAGAAGGAAAAAAAAGTAAAAAAAATTAAATATACAACAAAACATCATCATTTTACAACATTTTTCTCTTTAGGAGTGTTTGGTAGAGAGAAAAAAATTTTTATCTAAAAATCACGATTCCTGAACATATAATAGAAAAATGAATTTCTCGAAAATATTATCAAAAAATTATTTAGTAGGCCAAACTATTTATAAAAATATTAATTTAATTTTCTTAATACTATATTTGATTGATTATAAAATATTGCTAAGAATATGAATTTAGGTTAATTATATCCCACAAAATTATTAAATATTCTCTTCACGTGAATTTATCAAAATACCACTTATTTGATGATATTTTAAAATAAAATTTTTCTTCCAAGAATTATTTTACAATCCTGAATGCCAACCGTAAATAAATCAAGAGTAAATACTTTTTTTTGGTCCTTGGTAAATTTTACAGAGTGAAGATATTCTAACTACTAAAAATTCTCACTACTAAAAATTTTGAAGAGAGAGAAAATGTTAATCTAATGGTGATTAGATAAATAGTAAATTGGTAGTGAAAAATTTTTGTAGTTAGAATATCCCTCCTTAATTTCACGATGACCGCTTTAGTCCGTAACAAATAAAAAGACTCATCGAGGTCCATAATAAATTCCAAATGAACCCATTTTAGTTCTTTTAAAGACTAATATGGATCTTTTTTGAATTTGTGAAGTACCACAATTTCAACTAAATGAATCCATTTTGAATTTCTTAGGAACCACGATGAATCTTTTTATTTGCTAGGAACTAAAACAGACATCATATGAGGACCAAAAATGATATTTACTAATAAATCAAATTCTCAATCTCACTTTTTCATAATTTTAAAATTTTCCCTTCACCAAACACCCCTTTTAAATTAATATTTGAGTCATGGTCAAATCAACCAACATACTGATGTACCACCCCAATTCAGATTTTAAAACAACACGCAATCTGTGTACCACAGGCTACAGACCACATATAATGCTCCTTAAGATTGTGCTTGCGCCACGTCGATAGATATTTCCATAATTATTCACCGATTTATCATATTCTCCATTCCAGCAATCACATCACAACCAATCCTTAGATATGCCATTCAATTTAGATCGCATTTTATTATTTGATCTACTTTAGCATTTGAAAATTATACACCCAAATCATAAACAAAATAATAATAATAATAACAAACATAAGAAATAATCGAAGAAGTTGCTTTCCTTTTATATATTTATATCTCATATGATCATGATTATCATCACATGATTATCATTATCATCATCATCAACAACCCAATCATAATCATAATCATCGCTGCAACTCCATCATACGAGAAAAGTCCTCAAAGCACACGAACCCATCTCCGTTCCTATCAACACCTTCTATCATGCGCCGGCACTCCTCTAACGTGCACCGTTCGTCGCCGATGGCCCTAAACACTCTCAGCAGCTCTTCCTCCGAGATCCTCCCATCCTGATCCGTGTCGAACACCTCGAACGCCTCCCTAAGCTCATCCGGGTCCCCTCCCGACCCAGAACTAGACCCGACCCGGTTCATGAGCGCCTCCAAGCTGACACACCCGTGTCCGTCGCCGTCAACTTCGCTGAGCATCATCGCCACCTCCTCGGGACTCGGCGGCACGACGCCGAGCCGGGTCAGCAGCGCCTCCAGCTCCTCACGGGAAACGACGCCGTCGTTGTCCCGGTCGATGAGCCGGAACGCCTGCGCGAGCTCGTACCGGACGTCGACGGAGACGTCGGACCAGTCGCCGGAGACTCCAGGGAGAACACTGGTGGGGGTTCGGACAACGGCCTTGCCGGTTGAACCCTCAGATGAAGAGGCAGAGGAGGATCCGGATCCGAAAGATGACGGGTCGGATCTGGAGACGGTGGAGCGTCCCTTTTTGGAGCGGAAGAGACTTTTGGGGTTGAGTTTGAGGTTTTTAGGGTTGATGCTGATGAGTTTCATTGTGGAAAAAGAGAAGAATGCGAACCAAGAGGGAATAAGAGAGAAGAATAAGAAGAAGAAGAAAAAGAAAGAGGAAGAGGAAGAGGAAGAGGAAGGGATTGATGAGAAAGAAGGAGGAAGGTGAAGGGGTTAAATGGGTGCAGTGAGTCCATTTCTGCATCCAAGGGAGCTTCCACGAAGTTTCCTATGGGATTATTGAGTGATTCAAAAGAGGGTCGGTATTTATATTTTAATTACTTTTCTTAATTTAATCAATTACTTTTTCCCACATTATTTTATTTTTATTTTTTATTTTTTATTTTTCTTAAAAGTGTATGTAACGACAGGGGTGGGGTGGGGTGGGGTTTGATGGGATTGGTTGGGAATGAATTGAATGATCCTGTTTATTTACGAATGAACGATTAAATTTTTGTACGTATCAAAATCACTAAAATTTTTACATAACCTTATGAAAAGACATATGGACCAAATTGGTGTGTGTATGTATCTGTGTGCGTTTGAGGTTGCTATTTAACGAGGCGGGTTTTGGCCACTTTGATTTGTTGGTTTGCTTTGGGTTGCTTCTATGTTGGGTAATCAAAAAGTAGGGGGAATTTGGAGAAAGTTGTTTTTATTGTAAAAGTCGTACTTCTTTTTGCAAGAGTCTTTCACTTTTCGCCCATACCTTCTATTGCGGTAACTTTTTTGTTTTAATACATATCATAGAATTTCTTCACACTCGCCTAGGATTTATTAAGTGTAAGATTTGATATTTACTTGAGCATTTATCCAGCTAAGTAGTTAAAATTGAAATTTTATGTAAAATTATAAAAGATAAAAAAAATCATAAAATATAAAATCATAACATAAAAACATCATAAAAAATAATAAAAATATTTAAAATATGAGTTCACTTTTTCTGCAGTTACTGCAGATAAGTTATCTGCAGTAAGCCAATACGACGTCGTTTTGGGACGGAAATCATGGTGTTTTTATTATTTTAATTTATTTTAAGGTTATAATAGCCTTTATTTTTATAATTTTTTAAGATTTAAATACCAAAACGATGTCGTTTTGGGAATAAATGCAGATAACTTCTCTGCATTAACTGCGGAAACATTTTTCCCTTAAAATATTGGTAAAATTATTTTGATGAAAAAATAATTATAAAAACATAATGATAAATTGAGAGTTTAACTACCATAGCAGTGATCACAAAGTCTATAAAGAGTTTCAAGTTTTATATATATATATATATATATATATATATATATATATATATATATATAAAATGATCATTTTACAACGGTATAAAAATAATAAACCTTAATCGTTGATATTCGTATATATGATAGTTATAGTTTATTAGGAGTTAATAATTAAATAATCAAAATAATTCAATTAATTATAATCATTTGGATTGGCAAAAATCATCGACTAAAATTGAGCGTAACACGTGTTATTCTTATACCAATTGTAAATTAATCATGCCGCTTAATATAAATCCAAATGTATTCTAACAAAATTAAATCAATTTAGATATAAGAAATAATGAAAAAATAAATTTTGTATTTGATGCATATCCTGGCTCTTAGGCCTTAAACTCCCTTGAATCAACTTGAGAATAAACTTAGATTCAACATTTACTAACAAAAAAAACATTGAAGTTAAACTATTTTAAACGTGGGTATATGACCAATGCGTGAAGACGTGGCGCGCACAAAGAAAACTTCAATTAATTGTTAAAGATTACGAAAATAAAAGAAAGCATACTGGGAAAGATTTAGTGACGAGTGACCTAACTAAAAAAGGAAATGGCAGCTCCACATGCTCCAAAATAGTTTAGAGATAAAATATAAAATAAACATATGTATTATCATTTAACAGTTTAAATTTTTAAATTGAAATTGACTATATGATATTAGAATTTATAAGCAAATGGTTTTAAAATTGGATCTTTACCGCTTTATTTTTATTAATAAAAAATATAAAAAATTAAAGAACAGGATAAACATAAATATAGAAATAAGTTTATACATTATCCACACACTTTTGATTTGAACTAGCATTTTGCAAAACCTTCTTCCCTTTTCGAGCCACTTACTTTTAACATCCAATATGATATAGATCATGTAGGATCATATTGCACATTCAATATGCAATATATAGCGTGTATTGCTTTGTGGATCCTTCAAAATGAAAAACATATATACAAGGGGTTGCCCCAAAAAAAAGTTTTATCTTTCCCTCTCCATGGCTTCACAAGTGCTTTGTTGTTTTATTTTGTCAAATGTGGTGAAGGGATATATGCTCTTTAATAAAAATAAAAAATAAAAAAACTCCATCTTTCCCTCTCCATGGCGTGAGAAGTGTTTTGTGTCTTATTTTATCAAATGTGGTGTGAAGGGATTGTTATTGAAGACAGTGGGTGATATTAAATCACTAGAGGTTTGAACCCATGTAAAGAACAGAAGGGGTAGATGATCAGAATTATCACTGTGCAATTAAAAATATTAAAAACAAACTTACTTGATATGTATGAAACAGACAGAATCAGAAGAATGAAAAATGCAGTATCAAAGGAATAAAATCCGAGCCCACAGAACGTGTCTCCTTAAGACAATTTGCCCCCTCACTGATGCCAAAGGTTGATGGACACTTGTCTCCCAGGATAGAACGGATTTCGTCTGAAGAGTGGCGGCACTACCAGTCAACAGCCCAAACGAACACAACAAAATGCCAGAGGAAATCACACCGGAGTAAGAACAGGAATATGCAAAAACCGGAAGGAGAAAAATTCCGGCAGAGTTTCGGTGCAGAAAAAAATTGGATCCATTTTCTGAAGGTGTCAGTGTCTATTTATAGACAACGTAAAGTCACGTTCCAAAAGGCACCTATTCGACGACGAAACAACACATCTGTTGGACACGAAAAGACACATTCGTTCGACACGAAAAGACACATTCGTTCAACACGAAAAGACACTCATTCAAGGATGAAACGACATGTCCGTTAGGATGAAACAACATGTCTGTTAGGATGAAACAACACATCGTTTAAGATGAAAAGATACATCTGTTTGTCGACGAAAAGGCACACATTTTCACTACCAAACTTCTTATTCATAACCAATAGATTGTCTATACAATTTATATATATATATATATATATATATATAAATTCCAACAATCCCCCACATGGATAAGAAGTCAAATCATCGTGACAAAAAATGCACAAGAATATAAATGCAAAGTGTAATTTCCTCAACGAGAAACAACTGCATCGAGATAGGTGGAGTTACCTTTGAACCTTCTCTAGTGGAAACCTATCGGATATACTCGGTCAATCGGTGGTCTAGGTCGACTTGAACCGTCAACCTTTAGTGTATACCTAGACAATAGGAGTCACACAATTGCTTCTCTAGCATTGTTGGTCCTTTGTTGCGCCCATTTTGGCCGTGGGACACCTGCCTGGTTCTGCGAGTGTTTTAGAGAATCGGCCTTTGAAAAATTCTCATAGAAGCGGCCCTCACTTCACACTCACATAGGTGATTTCTTGTGATGTAACTCACTTATACATCATCTGAACACAACAGATTAAGAAATCATTAAAAGCCTAAGTGCTTACCCTCATAAATACACTGTCTTGTCTTAGGAATGAGTATGAGTTTAAAAACTCCACAGTGTTTAAACAGTCGACCATCACTTAGTTGTCTCTTTGAACCTAGTTCGTGGGATCTCCACTCTTCTAGGTAGAGTTACCGCAATGCTCAACAATTGATAGGCCTTAAACCCATTCCTTTTGACAAATTTTCAACCAACTCTCTAGGAATCCCTTTGGTTAACAGATCCGCTATGTTTTCCTTAGACTTAACATAGTCAATTGAAATGATTCCATTCGAGAATAGTTGTCTTACGGTATCATGTCTTCGACGTATCTGTCTAGACTTACCGTTATACATGACGTTCTTGGCCCTTCCAATAGCTGCTTGGCTATCACAATGTATGCATACGGATGGTACCGGTCTTGGCCAATTAGGAACATCCTCAATAAAATTACGAAGCCATTCGGCTTCTTCACCGGCCTTATCTAAAGCAATAAATTCTGCTTCCATGGTTGACCTTGCAATGCAGGTCTGCTTTGACGATTTCCAAGACACAACACCTCCACCAAGGGTGAACACATATCCACTTGTGGATCTAGTGTCATTAGAGCCGGTGATCCAATTTGCATCACAATACCTTTCTATAACATAGGGGTATTTCTCGTAATGCAAAGCAAAATTTTGAGTATACTTCAGGTATCCCAAGACTCTTACCATAGCTTTCCAATGATTTTCATTTGGATTACTAGTAAAGCGACTTAACAGACTTACTGCGTAAGCAATATCAGGTCTGGTGCATTTCATAACATACATCAGGCTTCCCAACACTTGAGCATATAACTTTTGTGTTGTAGCTTTACCAGTGTTCTTTAATAAACTAAGATTTGAATCAACAGGGTTCCTCACAGGAGTTATATTCAAACTGTTGAATTTCTCAAGAACCTTAGCTATATAGTGAGCCTGTGATAAGGCCAACCCTGCAGATGTTCTATGGATTTTAATACCTAGGATAACGTCTGTTATCCCCATATCTTTTCATATCAAACTTATTTTTAAGTAATTATTTAGTAGCATTAATCATTTGATTATTACTACCCATGATCAACATGTCGTCTACATAAAGACAGACAATGGCAAAACCTTTTTCAGTATTTCGAACATAGACACATTTGTCACATTCATTAATTCGAAATCCATTTGACAACATAACTTTGTCAAATTTCTCATGCCATTGTTTTGGAGCTTGCTTTAACCCGTAAAGGGATTTTATTAAGCAACAAACTTTCCGTTCTAGTCCTGGAACAACAAAACCTTCAGGTTGTTCTAAATATATCTCTTTTTCCAGGTCGCCGTTTAAGAAGGCGGTCTTAACATCCATTTGATGTATTTGTAATCCATTCAGTGCAGCTACTGCGATCAACATCCTAATGGATGTGATCCTTGTAACCGGTGAATAAGTATCGAAATAATCGAGACCTTCACGTTGCCTGTAGCCTTTTACCACAAGCCTTGCTTTATATTTATCAATAGTGTCATTCTCTTTCATTTTTCTTTTGAAAACCCACTTACTTCCTAAAGGCTTATTGCCAAGAGGAAGGTTTACCAATTCCCAAG